AGAGGAGGAGCGAGCCATTCCTATGTTTGTTAATTGAATCGGTTATTAATTGGGTTGATCGGAGAGTGATGAAGGAAAGGGTTGGATGAGTGTGGTTTATATAGGATTTTGCAGTGAGGGGATGGTGGTTGGAGGATGGGAGATGAGAGTAAATTAATGGTCTCTAGAATCATGGAGGGTTTTTGTTTGGGAAGAAATAGTAATGGGTAGTCATGGGCACGCTTACAAGAGCCCCCCCTGCTGCACTTTTTCTGAGAATATAAAATGGCGCAGAAAATATCTTCCTATTGATGCTCTGATAGAATCCTTTCTCTATTACTAAATACTTTTTTTTTTCCTACAGTAATCCCGCTTTTTTTAATATGCATTATTTGAATTTTTTGAAGTGCTACAGTATCCCGCTCTGCTACAGTACCTTTTAAATGTTACAGTATACCATTGTGCTACAGTACCATTTTTAATTAATTATTAGCTACAGTAATCATGCTACAGTAAATACTACTGTAGCATTTACTGTAGCATGAACAGTAAATCTCTAATCCTCCTATTTGTATAAAGGAATAGATATAAGCATATGTACTATTAAATATAAGATGTATATATGTGTTATTTGTGTTAATATACCCTACTATAGTTACCATTGCAAAATAATCAGTATGATAAGAAAAATTCTCACTAAGAGATACCATAGCAAGTTTTTTTTTTTCCATTTGATTGAGGAGTATTAGTTCTCACTGTCTAGTATCTATATTAATTTTAATAAATTTAATTTTAAATAATACATTTATTCTATATTTATTTTTATTTTTATTATAATGTATCATGTTTTTTTAACAATTGATTGAAAGTCATTCAGCATTGATCTCGTTGCATTGGCTTCTAATTTAAGTTGAAGAAACTTAAATATGTGATTAAAAGAGATCCAAAATTTTATACGTCAAATAGGATGGACAATGTTCCATAGAAAAATTTCTAAAGATCCCTAAAATATCACCCATAGATCTCTTGAATAGGTCCCGTGCAGTGTCATGAAGTGTGAAGGTTAGTATTTGAGACGTAAAACATGCATCACAAAATACTCTTTGACGAAAATCACAAAATACTCTTTGAGGAAAAAGTTTTAAAAACTTCAATTTCAATGAATTTAGACCATCTCCAATGCCAAAAAAATAGTAGTCGTAAATGATAGACACCAAAAATGAGATACCTGATCAACAAAACAATGTAGGTTTGATTATATGTTGATGCTTTGAAATATGTTGTAATTATACACTGGTGACTCTGAATTCTGTGAATTTACACTAGTAATTCTGAGATTACTTATAACTATAATTACACAGGTGACCCTAAAATCTATCGATAAGTTAACGATGTCTTTTCTGATTATTTGAAGCTCTTTTTAGATGTTAATTAATTAGGATTAAAGTTAGGAGCATGGCTGTGATTAGAGTTATGGTTAAGATTATTGCAAAATATTGACACATCGAGTTTGGATTAGGATTATAACAATGAAAATTTAGAGAGTAATCATTGTTATAACCCTAATCCTAGCCCCAACCCTACTCTAGTCCTAATAAAATTTTTAACCCTAACCCTAATACTAATTGACATTAGCAAAAATACTCCAAATAAGTGAATAAAAATATTTAATGGCTTTTCTCGATGTTAGTCCCTTGGATCCGTAATTAAATATTAGTCCGTCAAATAATTAGAATTCCTATTATGTCCCTAAAATTTTTAATTATTTTGAAATTAGTCTCTAAAATCATTGAAGTTGCTATTAGTTGCCACCAATTCTTAAG